AAAATTTAATCGGAAAAAAAAAAAAAATTTCACATTTTTGGCTGTTCAAAGCAAAATATCAATTGAATGAATAAAAGCAGATACATATTACGTATTTAAAAAAGATTATTTTCTTTTCTTTCCAGCTGTATGAATATTTTTAGATTGGCCTAAAAATACACGAGAAATTGCGAGTTGATCGGACTAAGTTCCAAATTTATCAATCTCAAACAAAATCAGATATTGAGTGGAAATGCTATCATTGCACAAGAAAATGAAAGGCTTCCTTAGAAAGCAAAAATACTAAATTAAAAACCAAATCGAAAACCGCGGTATCAAGGAAAAAAAAGACTGGAAACTGATACCAAAACACAAATTGCCAAATTGATCAACTCTAGTCTCCTTACATACATTCATGAGGATGTTAATTTTTTAGAAAAAAATGTGTGAATGATATAGGTATATCCTATTCTGATTCATTTTTAGTAATTCAACTATTAAAGGATTGTTTGTGTTTTTGTTAATCAGTCATCTAAGTAGGGATAGTAAATCCGAGAAAACTAAGTTGTCTGGCACACTGTTATGACGTCTAAACATAAGTCTATGGCTATAGCTTCAGCCCTAAAAATAGAGGATTTGACAGGTAAGTGTTTTTGATTGCTATATCATCAAGAATGACTCAATATCCAATTTTATCAATGTTTTTTGAGCCATATATATATATATATATATATATATATATATATATAGAGAGAGAGAGAGAGAGAGAGAGATATAGAGAGAGAGAGATATAGAGAGAGATAGAGAGAGAGAGAGATATAGAGAGAGAGATATAGAGAGAGATATATAGAGAGAGAGATATAGAGAGAGATATAGAGAGAGAGATATAGAGAGAGAGAGATATAGAGAGAGAGAGATATAGAGAGAGAGAGATATAGAGAGAGAGAGAGAGAGAGATATAGAGAGAGAGAGATATAGAGAGAGAGAGATATAGAGAGAGAGAGATAGATATATCTCATGTATTGGAACAGCAGATTATTCAAACATATCTTGTTAAGTATAACAGACAATTAATGTCTATTATGTTTCATCATGAGCCGTTCTAAACTTCCTATAGTTGCTGAAGATGGCCCATATGAGCCAAGAGGTTAGATCAAAAAACAGCTTAATAAAAAAAAAAAATATCCAAATGTTGGGCAATTTTTGTCTTTATTTTCACCCAAAATTAAAACAACCATATGAAGTTTAGAATGGCTCATCATCAAACATAATAGATATTCGTTGTCTGTTATATTTAACAATGTATGTGTGTGCTTATATTTTAGGTGGTACTGTAAAATATCAGTTTCTTATAAAAAGGTAAATGGACTTGTATTAGTTATAGGGTATTTGGTAGCTGTTGACCGTTTTGTTAGCTGAGGTAGGTTTCCCAGAGTCGTAGATTCAAGTAATGTCTATTCATGATTCATTGATAACGTTTCCCCATGTAACAACCAAAACGTTTGATGGCTTTTCTTTTTTTGGTCAAATAGATCATTATATTACAGTTGGGAAACATTGTTGAATGCCAAATTATTCAGACAGGAATGTAGTTTCTTATAATATTGAAGGCCTAATTTCTGCCGTCTTTGTGCCAGAGACATTTCGTAGGTTTCAGTGTACAGACTTGACATTGAAGCTATTCTAAAAGCCTCCTAGAATGACTCGTAATCCATGATGAGTAATTGTATCATGTTCCTTCTCATAGGACTTCTTTGCAGAACCATAAATGAAACAGTCCTAATCCAGTTGGGACCTAACTAGTGATTGAGATAATTTTAATAGGGGGGGGTGTCTATCGGCTACCCAGTCTGTGTAGACAACCACTCTGAGTATCTGGAATGTTTTATTATATTTAGTATGGCGATATCTAATGTGAGGTATATCAGATAACCTGTCAAAGAAAATGCCCAAGAATTTATATTGATCTACTACGCCAATGCCAGAACCGTCAACTTTTAAATCTGGGTTGTGATGTAGCTTTCAGAGATGGCAGAAATGTACACATTGATTTTTTGTTTTTTTGTTTTGGAGAATCTGAATTCATTTTCTGTAGACAATGTATTAACAAAATTCTTGGTGTTGTCGCTGCTCAATTGTATGGATATTTTTTAATCTATAACAGATCAAGAAATCATCAACATACAATGAACCGTCAATTCCTGAATTCAGGTATTTAACAAGATTATTAAAGAGGAGATTAACTGATAATATAATCCCTTGCGGTGTACCAATTTCTTGGTCAGATACAAAGGGGCTGTAAAAGTAGGTATAGAGTAATGAAAATACAAACATTAATAACATAACTTACTGTATACCGACTTTTGCAGCTCCTTCATATGGCAGAAAGAATAGTGCCAACACAGACAATGGAAACACAATCTGTTAGAAAGCTATTAAGAAAGATTGGCTGTCTATTATTAATCATCTGTTTGAGAGTTTTGCGAAGACAGCTGGTAAGTGCAATTGGCTGATAGCTTGA